CCCATCATGCCGCCACCTTGTCCGCCCATCGCCGCCGTCGTGGCCATACCGCCGTGCTGGTGTACATGTCCAACTCTCCTACTCAAAGCAATCAACTCATTGAACTGCTGGTCTGTGTCCGGAAGGTCGCCGCGGAAACCCATCAGCAGATTCACCCATTCAGCCGGCGGAATCCGAAGACTTGATAAGAGGATCCATGCAAAGCCACCTGGTCCCAGATCCAGATTGCCGTCTGCTCCTGCACGAAACCTCAAACTCGTGAACCTACCGAGCGTGGTGTCGATGTCCTCGCCCGGCATTCTCCTGAAATTCTTGACGCTTCGCGTATCCCCACCAGCCCATCCAGAAACGATGTCCAGGCAAGTTGAAGAGATCAAGGAAGTGGGGGAGCAACGAGAGGGACAGCCGATCCGTGCAAACGATGAGGCGGAAGAGGAGGTCAGATAGATAGATGAGAGGGCGGCGAGGAACCGAGCGAAGGAGGGATGAGGAGAATGATGACGCTGGGTGGATGGTTGAATGCCGCTCGGATACCTCTTGGAAACCTTTTGGAAGCCTCTTCGGGCGTCTTGGGGGTCTCTTGGCGGTCAATGGGGGCTCTTGGGCGTCTTGGGTGCTTCGGGGGGGCCTCTTGAGGCCGCTTGGGATCCTCTTGGGGGGCTCTTGGGGGCCTGTTGGAGGCCTCTTGGGGCCTCTTGGGGGTCTCTTGGAGCTTCATGGCGGCCTCTTGGAGCCTCTTGGCGGCCTCTTGGAACCATCCGGGGAGCCTCTTGGAGCCTCTTGGGGGCTTCTTGGAGCCGCATGGCGGCCTCTTGGGGCCATCTTGGGGCCATATTGGCGCCTCTTGGGGCCTCCTGGGCGCCTCTTGGGGCCATCTTGGAGGCGATCGATCAAAGAAGAGGGTGAGGTCAATTAGCACTGCCCCCCCAAGAGGCCAAAATGGGGCCAAAACCAAAACCGATGAATTTGGCTTCCTCGCCGAGGCCGTTTTGGACGCTCTAACTACCAGCGAAACCCCCCGTCCAGGTCCAGGGGAGGGGGTTAGGGGGAGGGGTAAACCCCTCCCCGAAGAGGAAGTGGAAGATGGAAGCGGAAATTCCCGGAACCACCTACGCCCAGAGGGCTGGTTGGATTCATGAGATCGGCAATCGACGACGTGGACGTCTCCACGTCCAGCGGTGCGAACTGCCGATGCAGTCCTCGTAATACGATAGCCAACCCAGTGACCTGTCTCATGCCGAGCCCGTATCCAAGGTCTCTCATGCCACCGTTGCGCACCGTGTCGGGGTCTACCGTGCCGGCCAGTTCGCGCGCAACTCCTCGAAGCCTGAGAATCACTGCCGCAGTTTGAGCCTGGTCCGGCAGCTCACATGCCAGGGCCCACCACACCACATTCTTCGACCATTGTTTGAAGGGATAGAACCTCTGCCATCTCGAGTCCCAGGCTGGCGGTACTTTCATCGTGCCCATGATACTGACCTGGTCCGCCGCGTTGCCAAACCCCGCCGCCTGGGTTCCGTTCATATTCACCTGTGGCATAATCGTGAGGTATGTGTCTTAGATGTGGTCGTGGCGCTTGTCGTCGTAGTCGAAGTCGTAATCGGAGTCGACGCAGTCGTAGAGGTCCATGGAGCGCCGCCTGCGGGAGGCAGGCGGGAGCCGAAGCTCCGCTACCAAGGTCGATTGACCCTGGTAGGCTCGGAGATAAAATGTATAAAGAGAGGGATGTTTATCAGAACGTGCAAAGAACGAAACGTATGGACGCGTCCTTGAGTGAAACGGTTGCGGCGGGCAGGCGGGCTATACACACGCATGCGCACACATATACGTACACACGACATACCTCCGTGTGTGAGCTATCTACTGCATTGCGACTGGCTGGTGGTGTTGGCGCCTCGACGGAGGAGGGACACTAGAGACAACGACGACGCTCCCTGGCGAGTATTTTTTTTTGGGGGGGGGTCCCAGAGGTTTCGCGTCGCCGTCGCTGGATCCGAGTCGAAAGGCAGGTCAGGGTGGACCCCGGGAGGGGGCGTGGGAACGAGTTTGAGCGGGGCTCGGCTGGGCGGGAGACCCGCCGTTGTCTCATGTGGCCTTCGTCCGACTGTCTTTCGATTACTGTTGCCGCGATTGGCCGTGAAGACTAACGCCACCACTGGCGCATGCAAACAGCACCCAAGGACAGGAGCGCCACGATATTTCGTAACGCTCGCCTGCAAGACTCTGTTTGACACTCTGTTTGACTGGCGCCGCGGCCACGCGCGCACCGGCGCTGGGGAGCCAAAACCGGGCGAAGAAACGCGCGCGGTCGGCCCAGATCACGCGGCGTGGAGATCCGCCACCGTGCCTGCCTGCAGCACGTCGTAGAGTGCCCCAAGGCTCATGCAGCCCTGAGAGGTTCAGAGTCGCAGGGCTTGTAGGAAACAGTTGTTAAAAGGCCTGGATCACCGATTTCACAAGAAATTCCGGGGACTTCGCGGGATGGGCCGAAGGCCACTAA